TATTTCTTTTTTAAACAATTAAATTAAATTAATTATTTTTATTTTATCTTTTTTTTTTTTGAGACACAGTCTCACTCTGTCGTCTAGGCTGGAGTTCCGTGGCACTATCTCAGCTCACTGCAACCGCCTCCCGGGTTCAAGCGATTCTCCACCTCCCGTTCAAGCGATTCTCCTGCCTCAGCCTCCCAAGTAGCTGGGATTACAGGCATGCACCACCATGCCCAGCTAATTTTTGTATTTTTAGTAGAGCCGGGGTTTCACCATGTTGGCCAGGATGGTCTCCATCTCTTGACCTCGTGATTCGCCCGCCTCGGCCTCCCAAAGTGCTGGGATTACAGGCGCGAGCCACCACGCCTGGCCTCTATAAATTTTCTTGAATATATCTTTTTTTTTTTTTTTTGAGGTGGAGTCTCACTCTATTGGCCCAGGCTGGAGTGTAGTGGCATGATCTCGGCTCACTGCAACCTCCACCTCCCAGGATCAAGCGATTCTCCTGCCTCAGCCTCTAGAGTAGCTGGGATTACAGGTGTGTGCCACCATGCCCCACTAATTTTTTATATTTTTGGTAGAGAGTTTCACCATGTTGGCCAGGATGGTCTCGAACTCCTGACCTCAAGTGATCCACCTCCTTTTTTTTTGAAATTTGGTCTTGCTCTGTCACCCAGACTGGAGTGCAATGGTGCAACTGTAGAGCTCACTGTAGCCTCTATTTCACAGGCTCAAGGGATCTTCCTGTCGCAGCCTCTTAACCAGCTGGGACTACAGCGGCAATCTACCAGGCCCAGCCAATTTCTTTTACTTTTAGTAAAGACTAGATTTCACTCAGGCTGGTCTCAAACTTCTGAGCTCAAAGGATTCTCCCACCTCAGCCTCAAAAACTGTTGGAATGAAGGCATGAGCCACTGAATCTGGCCTTGTCTATATCTTTTCGTGTACATATGTAAATTTTTCTATTGGTTGTGTACCTGGGAGTGGAATAGCTGGATCATAAGGTTTGCCTGTGTTCAGTTTTCATAGATACCAAAATAGTTTTCTAGAGATAAGGCTCTGGTCTCCCGCAACAACAACAACAACAAAAAATTTCTTTTTTTGCTCCCTTGAGACAGAGTTTCACTCTCGTTACCCAGCCTGGAGTACAATGGTACGATCTCGGCTCACTGCAACCTCTGCCTCCCAGGTTCAGGCAATTATCCTGCCTCAGCCTCCCGAGTAGCTGGGATTATAGGCATGAGCCACCAGGTCCGGCTAATTTTTGCATTTTTAGTAGAGACAGGGTTTCACCATGTCGGTCAGGCTGGTCTCGAACTCCGACCTTAGGTGATCCGCCCACCTCAGCCTACCAAAGTGCTGAGATTACAGGCGTGAGCCACTGCGCCTGGCCAGTAAATAATTTTTGTAAGGCCGGGCGCGGTGGCTCAAGCCTGTAATCCCAGCACTGTGGGAGGCCGAGGCGGGTGGATCACGAGGTCGAGAGATCGAGACCATCCTGGTCAACATTGTGAAACCCCGTCTCTACTAAAAATACAAAAAATTAGCTGGGCATGGTAGCGCGTGCCTGTAATCCCAGCAACTCAGGAGGCTGAGGCAGGAGAATTGCTTGAACCCAGGAGGCGGAGATTGCAGTGAGCTGAGATCGCGCCATTGCACTCCAGCCTGGGTAACAAGAGCGAAACTCCATCTCAAAATAATAATAATAATAATAATAATAATAATAATTTTTGTAAAAACAGGGTTTTACTATGTTGCCTGGGTTGGTCTTGAATTCCTGGCCTCAAGTGGTCTTACCTCCTCTGTCTCCCAAAGCACTGGGATTACAGGCATGAACCACCACACCTGGCCCAATAAAAGCTCACCTACTCTACATTTCTCATAATGATCATTGCCCCTATACCAGTTAGATGCCACAGACCCGTTTACCTGCCCAATTTCAGTCTCCACCTACAGCTCACCCCCAACTAACTCCAGGTGAAAATCTTAATAATTTTGATGCCACTTAATGCCAAGGGTTATCATGAACCACTTACCACCGGTAACACTGTCCCTATCACCATCATGAGGGATTGTTTCCACATGAAATCAGTAGGACCCTAGCCAGAGTTGGTATCTACAAAGAAGTGAGGATAGGTCAAAAGCCCTGGAAGAATGTGAGGCCAAGAGGCTCTGATGTGTCGTTAAGAGATGTTTGTGACATTTTGGGCTGAATGTTTAAGAAAAAAAATTAAGAGAGAGATGTTTGATCTAGGCTGGGAGCTGTGGCTCATGCCTGTAATCCTAGCACTTTGGGAGGCTGAGGTGGGGGTGGATCACCTGAGGTCAGGAGTTCGAGACCAGCCTGGCCAACATGGTGAAACTCTGCCTCTACTAAAAATACAAAAATTAGCTAGGTGTGGTGGTGCATGCCTGTAATCCTAGCTACTTGAGAGACTAAGGCAGGAGAATTGCTTGAATCCGGGAGGTGAAGGTTGCAGTGAGCCAAGATCACGCCACTGCACTCCAGCCTGGGTGACAGAGAAAGAAATCTGTCTCAAAAAAAATAAATAAATAAAATTAAATAAAATAAATAGAGAGGAAAGAGATGTCTGATCTAAAGGCATATTATAGATTTTCTTTCCAAACTGGGCTTACTCCATTTGCATTTATTGATGTGATGTGATGGATAGGTTTGGTCTTCATTCTGGCATCATGTTATGCTTTCTCTCTTGAGCGATTCCTTTGTTTTTCTTTCACCCTGTGGTGTGTCTGTGATCTCTTCAGGCTCTTTCACTGGCTTGGTGGCAATTGGCATGCTATTTCATCTGGAACCACCAGACTTTGTCAGGACGAGAGTGTCAGATATGCTAAGATGTGATCCGATGCATAAAATCTAAGACTCCACACACAAATGCATTTTGTTTGTTTTGCTGCTACACATTTGTGTCCTACACAGGAATTCTGATACATTCTATTTTGCCCGATGCCCATCAAAAGACAGGGAGAAAAATGGTTGGTTTGTTTATAATTACAAGCACAGCTTTAGGTAAGACACTCCTGAGAGAACTTTGATTTTGACTATAGTTAAGGAGACCCTTCTGCTTATAATTTCACTGTCTGATAACTGGAAGGATTTTCTTTGGTTTGTTTGTTTGTTTATTTATTTTGAGATGGAGTCTCGCTCTGTCACCCAAGCTGGAGTGTAGTGGCGCAGTCTCAGCTCACTGCAATCTCTGTCTCCCAGGTTCAAGAGATTCTTCTGCTTCAGCCTCCCGAATAGCTGGGATTACAGGTGCACACCACCACACCTGGCTAATTTTTGTATTTTTGGTAGAGACAGGGTTTCACCATGCTGGCCAGGCTGGTCTTGAACTCCCAACCTCAAGTGATCTGCCCACCATGGCCTCTCAAAGTGTGGGATTACGGGCATGAGCCACGGTGCCCAGCCCAAAGAATTATCTCCACGCCAGCTCCTGGCACTTTGCCACGAAGTCTCAGTGCTCGGCACCGGAGGGCACATTTCTACTATGATGTGACCTCCAGTCCTGCTCCTTCTCATCTGGTGTAGAGCACCCACTTTGTGCTCTACACCAGATGAGTTAGCACAGAGGGAGCTAGGGTATCTCTACACCAGGATGGCCGGCATTACCTTAGTTATAGGTGGAGAAGCCGACAGACCTCATAAATGTATTCCACTAAACCCAAACTGAATGTATTCCATGTCAGTTTCCCCTCACTCACATCCACTCCACCATCACTTGACATGAGGCAGAGGAGAATTCTGGGCCAAAAAGTGGTCTCCGGTTGAAGCAAAATTGCCTTGCCTACAGAAAAAAATATATATTTTTTGAGATGGGGTCTTGCTCTGTTGCCCAGGCTGGAGTGCAGTGGCGCAATTTCGGCTTACCGCAACCTCTGCCTCCCGGGTTCAAGCAATTTTCCTGCCTCAGTTTTCCAAGTAGCTGGAACTACAGGCGTGTGCCACCACGCCTGGCTAATTTGTATTTTTAGTAGAGATGGGGTTTTACCGTGTTAGCCAGGATGGTCTCGATCTCCTGACCTCGTGATCCACCCGCCAAGGTCTTCCAAAGTGCTGGGATACAGGCGTGAGCCACCATGCCTGGCCACCTATCAAAATTTTACAGAAGCAGATGCCCGTGTGAACACGTGAGAGCCTTCCAACACCGGCCTCAATAGGGGCTCGTGGAAGCGAGAGGCCCAAAACTTAGGCTTCTCTAGCTGTATAACAATTAAAAAATAAAATAAGAGGGCCAGGTGCCCTGGTTCGCCCCCAAAGGGTACACCTGGCCTCCCTGAATGGGCCCACCTGTCCCGCGCCTGGCACGAAGAAGCCCAACAAAAGAACAAAGATTCCCCAACAATCCCAGAGACAAAGACTCTCCTGTGCCAGGCTTGGAAAATGCGCCTGCGGACAGTGACATACTCGGGCCAAGGGCACTTTGGGCCCGGGAGGATTTCAGGAGCTACAGGGAGGGAGGGAGGGCTACGCTGCGTTGTAGAAAGGGGGTGAGCTCGTTAAACTTTACAACCCCTCTGACAGGGACCCATTTCACAGAGGAAGAAGCGTGGGCTCAGAGAGGGTGAGAGGCTTGCCCTAGCTCACACAGCTGGGACTCAAACTTAGGGGTCCTTGATCTGACCCCCAGGCCCCAGCTCCCTCGTCACGGATCCCTGGGATGCAGTAGCGCGCGCGCGGGCGGAACGGGCGGCTTCTGAGCGGACCACCCAATCCTCCTAAGGGCTGTTCTCCGTGGCTGCTTCCCGAAACCCATTCTTCCCGGAAGGATCCTACAGAGGAGCTTCTCTCCTAGGATCCCGGGGCCTCAGTTTCCCTTTCGTGCGTGTGCTGGGGCAGGGATCTTCCTATAGGAATGAGGAAGAGAGAGAGGCAGGAGAGACGCCTGGCCTTGCTGCCCATTGGCGCTCAGCCCCCGCCAGGGTTCCCCCGGAAGCCCCACCCCCGCCGCGCGGCCTGGCGGCCAGGAATGGGGCTCGGCCCCTTTAAATCCCGCCCGGGAACGCCCGGCGCCCGGCCGCGACCTTCCCGGATCCGCCAGCTGGATTGCCTTCCCCGCGTGTCCCGCAACGGTTCCCGTGCGGCGCCCCCTGTCCCGCGCCGGCTGTGTGGCGAGTGCCCGGGCGGTCGCGAGAATGAGCCGCATCTACCAGGACAGCGCGCTCCGGAACAAGGCGGTGCAGAGTGCGCGGCTGCCAGGGGCCTGGGACCCCGCCGCCCACCAGGGGTAGGCCTGGGCGCGCGGCTCCGGTCGGCCTCCGCTGCCCAGGCTCGAACCCGCGCTAGGATGGGGGGGCGGGATGCGGGTGGAGGAAAACGGGGGTCCCGGGGCTGCCACTCCGCCTCTAGCCCGCCCCTCCCGGCGCCCGCCCTGCGACCCCAGGACACAGATCGGCTTAAAGCTTCCCACCTGTCGCTTGCCCTTAGGAGAGGGTCCCGACCCCCACAGGGGACTCCCGAGGCTGTGAGTCGCTTCACGCTGACCTCCGGCTCCACCCACCCCATAACTAGAAACTTTAGCTGCCTCTGCACAGGCTCAAGCCTTCCCCAGAAGGGCAGTTGGGGACAGCGGGAGGGCTGGTGGAGAGCAGGGCCTGCCTGGGTGAGGAAGATTTGGAGGGCCAGGCCCTGTCCTCACAGGGTTAAGAGGCCGAATGGACCATTCCATTTACACTTGCACTAAAGAATTGTGCTAAGTGAAATAAGCCAGACAAATGCTGTGTGATCTCCTATGTGGAATCTGAAAGGGTTGAACCACAGAAACAGCAGAACAGGCCAGGGTTTGGCTCACGCCCATCATCCCAACACTTTGGGAGGCTGAGGCCGGTGGATCACTTGAGGTCAGGAGTTTGCAACAAGGCTAGCCACGGCCGGGCGCGGTGGCTCACGCCTGTAATCCCAGCACTTTGGGAGGCCGAGGCGGGTGGATCACGAGGTCAAGAGATCGAGACCATCCTGGTCAACATGGTGAAACCCCGTCTCTACTAAAAATACAAAACATTAGCTGGGCATGGTGGCGCGTGCCTGTAATCCCAGCTACTCAGGAGGCTGAGGCAGGAGAATTGCCTGAACCCAGGAGGCGGAGGTTGCGGTGAGCCGAGA